GGGTCACACAATAAATTACTTATAATTGATATGAATAAACAAAAATATATTTCAAGTTAAATATATGAAAAGTTTTCTTACTTTATAATCAAACTGAACGCTGTACACGACTGCGTTTTAACCACATTACAAATGTGATGGATATTGTTGCTTTTGTGTGTGAGGTGGGGGGTTATATTTATGTCACACCGGGCGTATTAAAGATATGTGACGTCATTCCAGTTTTATTGGTGGAGATATACTTCAAATGTCCATCCTTTACCAGGCTACAGCGGACACATTGTTTAGAACCACCGATCTTTCTTATGCTATCTTGATAGCTTCCTCACATGAAAGAATGTAAAATCCCTGACAGGATTTGAACCTATGATTGCAACGGTGAGAGCCAATAGTTCGAAGTCACCTTCCTTAACCACTATAATAAAATACAAGTGGAGAAGTTGAAGTATAATCAAAGTGGTGTATGATAATAATGCAGGGACATCTATCTGCGTTTATTAATCAGGGACATCCATCTGCGTTTATAGATGATGAGTTTTAACATGCTCGCGAATCGTTTGCGGTTAGATCAGTTGTGCGCTATTTTTGATAGGATTTGCACTAAGGATGGTCCATCGTTTCATTCCTGCAATCAATTAGTGCCAAATATATATCATGGAAAATAATTTCTATAAAAGTTATAGAAAAAATACATGTATATGTTCTTGGGGAAAATAATGCGAAAATATATATATATATTTTTTATGAACCCATCTAGCTATAAATGGCTAATTTATATTGAGTATGTGCCAAATATTTTACCTAAAACCTAATATTCAAGGATCTATAAAAATCGAATTTGATAATGTCGAAGAAAGGTGTTGTAGCATTTAACAACTCGGTGTCTTTCAAGTAGAGGAATACCCTGTAGAGGAATACCCTGAACAGCTGGACAAAAATGTGTTGCAGAAAAAAGCTGTAAGCTTTGACTTGTTCTTGCTTGATACATGATCTCTCAGAAGTCGTAAAACTGTGATGGTTATTTATTTGAGTGAATATGCTATTTATCACATACCCGTGCTGTTTTTACGTCTCCATGAAAACGATCTTGCACAGCCAAAACAAATAATTTATAACCCTGCCTATGTATTTATATCACAGTTGCAAATAAAGCACAATAAATATATCTGCTTGCCATAAAACGTAAAAAGATCTTTATTTTGAATTACATGAGGTATAAAGTATCAAATATTTATATAAGTAATCGCAAAAGCGATGAATAATAATAATAATCAAAGTGCTGCAGCACTGAATGCGACGGACATGCAACCGGAGAGACATTAATTAAGGCTCCTTTTAGAAAAAAAAAAAAAAAACAAACAAAAACAAAACACAAAATATATAACAGAGAAAATTTGTTCCATACAAGTTCGAGATTTGTAGAGCAATATATTTTGTGTCCCAAATTGATATAATTCAGAGTTTCTACTTTCAAGCACTTAATGAAATTTATGCCTAAAAACTCTGGTCAAACTTGTAAATCAGTGTCCTTATCGATTTATTCTAAGAAATGATATGTAAATAGAAAAAAAACTATCAACGAAATATTTCTAGAATAAATCCAGGCAAATAAACTTCAAACATATACATGTGAGAATGCTATTTAGAATTGCTTCGTGTTATATCATAGTGGGCATACAGACAATAAAATATAAGTCATTTGTATTTTTATTTCTCTTGGATATGTCTCATTAAAAAAAAAATTGGTTAAAATCATCAGCAATTAATAGTGTATTTCTTAGATTTTTTTTATTTACAAGGTAAAGATGTAGAGGCCAGAGCACATCGTTTTTATTTTAATTTAAATGTCACTTAAGCACTACAGTGTTTAGTTGTCCTTTTCAACTTCACACTAAATTCCATTTTCAACTTGTTTGCTTCTTTACAATTGTATAGCATTTCTAAAAGTATTGCATTACAATCCGCTGGTTTATTAATTACATGTTTAATGTGTACTTCCTATAAATCGCCTGTCCAAAAATCAGAACAGGTGAAGCAGAATCTATTTTTAGAATAGCGAAGGTTAACTCATATCATGACCTAGTAAAATATGTAAACAAACCACAAGAATCGGAAGTAGAACTGATATTATAACTTCCTTACCATGAAAGACTACATGGCGGTAAAGTGTCTTACATGCATTTTCAAAAATAGATATTTATACTAGCCATTGTACTGTATCTAATATATTAATAACTGCTGAATATTCAGCTAAATCCGCGGTATGAGTCACGAAAATAGTTCTTCTTTTATTAATGCGCGAGTTATCCTAGAGTCACGAAAAACTTTTGATTTGTTAATAATAATGTTTAATATAATGTAGAAATATTTATTTCCTACTAATAATGTCTTGGAACTCAGAGGTTACACCTTTATTGAAGTATAATTTGCTGTCCTACTTTTTCGACAGCGGTAAATCGTTTCAGCAGTAATTTGCATATTGCGCAATAATACTACGGGACTACAACGTTTTTATCAATAATATACGTTCATATTTTAACTTGGATAACTTAATTTGAAATTGAAAAGGCTAAATATGGAAGACATTAAGATATCCAGACAAAGTATGGGAGTTTTGAAGGATCAAATTCATGTACTATTTCTTGGGCTGTTAATTGGTTTAGGAGACATTGCGCGAGTGTAGCCAACGAAATCCCATGTGTAGATGACTTAGATCTGAACGCGCCTGAGGGCGCGTCCGTCGCAATAATAATATTAAGCTTCAGTCTTTCAGCAGCATGCCTCCAGATGAGCGAAAATATTTCAATAAATCAAACTTGATAAAAAATGTACTAAGAATTTAGGAAAAGTACAAAGATTCAAGTAATACTTTACATGTTATGATCGATCAATAGCGATTTTTTCAGTATTTGTAACTACAGAGACTTGGATAACAGAGATAAGTAGCTCCTATATGCTCCATACAGGGAGACACAGGCAAAATTTTCATTTCTTAGTTTTGAAATTTTCATTCATTATTCTGTACATGCCCTTAAAATAAATATATTAGACAGTCAATGGAACAAAACTTTTTTCCATATAAAGAATAAAATGGTGGTTTCCTAACTTGACCCGCGTGGGTCAGGTTAGAGCGCTATGATTTCGCAATATTTGTCAAAGTTAACTCTGGAAACGTTAAAAAACATTTCAAATGAATGACATAGACTTGTTTCAATCATACAATATCCAAAATATCTGTTATTGTAACTTAAAGGGTTGGTTCAAGTCACCTGACTTGTTTTAAAACTATTTGGTGATTTCATTGGCGTCTAAATTTTATTCAACATATTAAGATTTATTACCCTTCCAGATTTTTTCCGCCTTTTTGATTGGATATTGATCACCCGAAAGAAATTGATATAACCGAGCCAGACGGGTAATATACACACTAAATTTCCACGTTGGGTACCCAACGTTGTAAACAACATGTATGCGCTGAGGTGATGCGCGTACGGTTCGATTTTACGCGGTGTAAATTCCGATTTAAAAGCACTTTTTAACTGTCAAATGATAAATATTTACCAAAGTAAAGTAATGATACATATTACCATCAGTATCGAAAACAAATATGACCTTGTGAAAGCTTGATATTAATTACAAAAAAGTGCGTTCAATAAACTACTCCTTTTGTCTTGTTTACGTTCGTTAAGTACGGGAAAAATACGTCATGTATTTATGTGACGTCATGTTGTGACGAAGAGGTAACCTAAAGGGAATCTTATTTCGACGTTTCATTTTGAAAAAGCAATGATTTTTTAAAAAATCGTCTAAACTCGGCAGGGGAAGGGTAATAAAATTATTATTTTGGTTTTGGAGTGATATATGTGGATATATTACCTGCCAAGATAAAATATCACTCTCGCCTAACGGCTCGGGTGATATAAAATCTTAACAGGTAATATATCCACATATATCACTCCAAAACCAAAATAACATATAATATTTACGTTTCAAACCCAAAATATATAAAATTCAAACAAAAATTCATGCTGAAACTTCATGAAACGTCATTTTAGCCTGATTTGAGTACATAAAATCATTTCAATATTTTGTCATTATTTTGCCTGAATATCCCTTTAAATATCACTCATGCCTATTAAAAAGTGAAAAATTAGGCATTTTGTAACAAATAAAACTTAATAGATGTACATTTGATCCTTCTATATTATACACCATTTGAAAGTTATTTTTTTTTAATCTTTTTTATTGATATTAAAATAATGGTAACTTTCTATAGCTTGTCACTTAGAAAAACATAGCAGAAAATACCCACTGAGCCTGTTTTTCGTCATATGAATAGTTTTGTAACAAAAATCAATGAGTAGTTCTCTTTAAAAATTGATATATCATTTATTTAAATGGGAACTGTAAATGTTTTACCTGCAGCCATAGACAAATGCATAAGCTTTCAGAAAATGTATTATTTTAATGATTTTGATATCTGGTTGATAAGTTTTACTTGCTACAAGATTAAAGTTTAGCAGACTCGTGTGATATTTTAACTGGCTAGGAAGTTGCCTATCTTTGTTATCTATGTCTCTGGTAACCACATACATGTATACTGAGTATTTCTACTGCGTTACTAACGCAGTATAAGGGTATATTTTGCTTATTTGACCTTTTTGTAATTAACGTGGGTTGTAAGTGTCACTGATAATGTGTAAATTGCTTTCTATAGTTTACTTTACAATATTATACATTTAATTTCATTTTCAAATTTTTCATGAAAATAAATATTTATAAGCGTTAATCTGGAGTCGTCCTAAACCTGTAGACCCGCATCTTCATGGCTTTAATTGCAAAATATTACATAATCATTTGCCGTAAGAAATCATACGCCATATACAAAGAAAACATATTCATATTGCATTGATGAATAATATCAATAAACACTTAGTAAACAAATCGTTTAAAAAAAACAGTAATTTTTAAGATTGCTCTACCTTAGTAATTTTCACAAATAGAGTAAATTTTCAAGAACACCGTGTAAAAAGTGTGGGAATCTAGCTGCATAGTCGCCAATTATTTAACAATAATATGTTCAAGAAACCTTTTAGAATTAAATCTCAAACTTCTATGAAAGGATCAGATAGGTTTGCTTTACATGTTTGTGAAAAGATTCTCAGAAATAATTTAATAGTCTGTTTACAAGAATATCTTTTAGTGTACCATATTTCGGATAGTTTCCTCTTTAGACGTTAGTATCCACTTGCATGTTTGTGTCCATTTTACTGTAGTATGTTCTTACATTACCATTCAATTAAGTTTCTCCCACTGATTCATGTTCATTAACATCTTCTAAAAAATTTACAGGCTTTGACAGTGGTCAATAATCATAATGATACTAATTTTGAAAGTAAATTATGTAGGCAGGGTCTTTCTAATAGAATTTCTTTTCATTGGTGTCATTTGACTCTCTAACCAGTGTTTCTGATATCAACTGTAATACCTCACAAATTATTCCTTCCCTCGAAAGATTCAAGCTGTTTCGAGAGGCACAGGGCATCTGCAGAAAACTTGATTCTGATGGCAAAAAGTACAAAATAACGTCCTGACTGAAGCTGAGGGGAGTTGGCCCTAAAAAGTAGATATTACAAGAAACTTTGAATATTGGAAAACATCTTAATTTGAATTCACTCCCCCCCCCCCAAAAAAAAACAAAAAACAAACCACAGACAAACAATAAAAACATTACCTGTAATATTGTTAGATACCCACGACTGATTCATTAATATTTAATAGCTGTGGGATTTTTGGCTGATATCCAGCCGATTAGAGATGTGTCAAAGACAGATTTTTTATTGGTTATTTCATGATTCATGATTAAAAGCAATCAAAAGGCGTACATGCCATAACGTCCCGGATGCCCGGGATTGTCCCGGAAATCGGATGTCTGTCCCGAAGATGTCCCGGGCATCCTGGGAAAAAAAATCATGATATTTTGCAAAATTTTCATAAATTTTCTTAAATCAAATCTCGCACATTTCACCTCACGATCTTAAAACATATTCTGACCTGGTACACATAATACACAGGAACGTTGACACTTACAAGTTTACAATATACAGCCCCCCAATTATCGACTATCGATTCCCCTCGGCAATAGCTTTCTTCATGCATCGGCAATTAACGTTCTCTGTTGAATTCGGCAGCGTTTAATGGTCTGGTTAATTAATGGTTTACAGCCCTTAACAATTATCGTTAATCCCCGATTATCATTAATTTTTAGATCAATCGCTTACTTGCCCAAAGTTTAATTATTACAAACAATGTAATAAATATATCCATCAAATAAAAAATTAAAGGTGTCAAATAAATCACCTAGCTGTGTTTGTTTTGATGACTGGAAGAATTGCGTTACGTGATATGTAGTAATTATCACGACTTTAAGATATAACGGGTGAACAACATGGCTGCGCCCATTCACCGGGTTTATAACTTGTAACTTACTTGCTTTAAGGGAAAAATAAATGAAATAAAGAAATACTATAAAATGATAAAGATGTCAAACTTAAAGACTACTTCTAAAACTAGTAAGTTAACTGTTTATCATTAGAATTCAGGAGAAAGTCTTCCTAATTTAATAACATACGATTGACACACCCCCTCCCCCTTTTCCACAACTGCCTCCACATCCATTATTGCTGCGATGAAAAGTGTCCCGGAAAGCTGTCCAAAAGTTATGGCATGTATGCAAAAGGCCTGTTCTATATGACATTGGGTATTACAGACAAAATTGCAGCAACCAAAATTCAGTTGTGAAAAGTTCAATATTAAAAATGTAAATGATTTTCAGAAAAAAGCATAGAAAATTTACTGTTACTGATAGTTTTAACCTTTTTATGCCATTGAAGAATATAAATTTTGTTAAGTGCTATGTTTCAAGTGTAAATATGATTATGAACCCATTTTTAGCTTATCTGTTTTGAAGAAACAGTTAAAGTACATGTATATTATGATAACTGTGTCATTGATGCTGCTAAGTGCATTAAACTTCAATGTAGCTCCATTCTCAAACACTTTAAAAGGTATCAGCACAAAGCTTTGAATACTTGATTCATGGTAAGACAATGGGCATAACTATGAGAGCATTATTCTAGAAGTTATGCCCCTTTTTAACTTTTAGTCAAGATTGCCTATTAAGTTGAATCATTTAAAAATTGTGAATGGTATGAACATGAAACTGAAAATATATACTTGTGTATCATGACAAGGGACATTATCCTGAAATCAATATATTTAGGAGTTCTGCTCCTTTTAAACTTAGAATACAAATGTTGTTATGAAACTTTATAACTTACAGACAAGCGTTAACATCACATGTGGTGCTCTTGTTACACATGTAGAAGGAAAATTTTATGTTAGTGTGAAGGTATAGTTTATAATATAGTATAATTATGTTAATGGGTTCTGCATAGTAATTTTGTCTTATGTTGTTAAATGGGGAATATTTTGCTATATTTTTTATCATTACTGACCAGATAAATAAGCCAAACGGTTGAGTGAGTATATGGAAATGTGTAAACTGTTGTTCAAAGCAAAATATCATAATTGTGTCATTCTAATATTTAATTCAGAAAGAAGCTTAGATTGGAGATACAGAAGAACTTTCATGGTTTAGATAGTGAAACAGTTTCTGACATCATTCCCAGCAAAGAGGAAGTAACCATAGTGAAGATATACACACATGCTGGTGATAATGCCTACATCTATTGTGTTAATAAACAGCCTATCCTGTTTGAGGTGGATAAACAAAAAGTGCAATATCCTACAGGTTGTATATTACTGTTGTGTGTGTGTGACAGGGTGAGCTTTTGTGATCGCTTTTCGTCCGGTGTCCGTCCGTCCGTAAACTTTTACTTTAAATGACATCTCCTCATAAACCACTAAGCCAATTTCATCCAAACTTCACAGGAATGTTCCTTTGGTGGTCACCTTTAAAAATTGTTCAAAGAATTTAATTCCATGCAGAACTCTGGTTGCCATGGCAACCGAAAGAAAAAACTTTAAATATTTTCTTTTAAAAAACCCAAAGAGCTAGAGCTTAGATATTTAGCATGAAACATCTTCTAGTGAGTGTCTACAAAATTTGTTCAAATAAAAGCTTTTGGGTCAAAATTGGCCCCGCCCCAGGGGGTCATTGATTTTCCCTATATGCATATAGTAAAAACTTAAAAAATCATCTTTAAAAGAACCAAAAGAGCTAGAGCTAAGATATTTAGCATGAAACATCTTCTAATGAGTGTCTATTAAGTTTGTTCAAATAAAAGCCCTTGGGTCAAAATTGGCCCCGCCCCAGGGGGTCATTGATTTTCCCTATATGCATATAGTAAAAACTTAAAAATTTTCTTTTAAAGAACCAAAAGAGCTATAGCTTAGATATTTAGCATAAAACATGTTCTAATGGGTGTCTACCAAGTTTGTCCAAATAAAAGCCCTGGGGTCAAAATTGGCCCGCCCTGGGGGTCATAGATTTTCCTTATTTATGTGTATAGTAAAAACTTTAAAAAATCTTCTTTGAAAAAACCTAAATAGCTAGAGTTAAGATATTAAGCAGGAAACATCTTCTAGTAAGAGTCTACAAAGTTTGTTCAGATAAAAGCCCTTGGGTCAAAATTGGTCCTGCCCCAGGGGTCATAGATTTTTCTTATATATGTATAGCAAAAACTTAAAAATCTTCTTTGAAAAAACCCAATAGCTAGAGTTTAGATATTAAGCATGAAACATGTTCTAGTAAGTGTCTACAAAGTTTGTTCAAATAAAAGCCCTGGGGTCAAAACTGGCCCCGCCCCAGGGGTGTCATTGTTTTTAACTATATGTGTATAGTAAAAACTTAAAAAATCTTCTTTTAAAAAACCCAATGAGCTACAGCTAAGATGTTTAGCATGAAACATCTTCTTATGGGTGTCTACCAAGTTTGTTCAAATAAAAGCCCTTGGGTTGAAATTGGCCCTGCCAGGGGTGGGGGAGCGAGCAGATCATTGTTTTCATTATATGTGTGTAGTAAAAACTTAACATCATGAAACATCTTCTTATGGGTGTCTTTCAAGTTTGTTCAAATAAAAGCCCTGGGGTTTAAACTGGCCCTGCTCCGGGGGCCTATATACAGGTGAGCGACCTCAGGGCCATCATGGCCCTCTTGTTTATATAAAGTTTCATATTAATGTTCAAAGTAAATAAACCATTTTTAAATTTTTGACAATTTTAATTCCTTGGTATTGTGCATTAAATGTAGTTTTGGGTCAAATGTATGTTCATATATGTAAATGTAAGTTGCAAATTAAGGATCAAAAGGAATAATTATTTACCAAAGTGTTTTATTTAAAAGATGAATAAGTTTATATTAATTTCTTTATATACATGTAGTATCAGCCATCATCTGATTTTCAGTTATTAAATTTGATTTTGTGAAATGTTGAGTTTACTTGTGCATAGTTGCTTCACAAATTTGTTTTGTATGCTGTGTATATAATGAATGACTTTATATCATAGTTTACCTGTTGTGGAGATATCCAGATTTAATTGAAAGATTTACAACATGGCCTCCTGTGTTAAAAAAACTTACAGACGGAGCAGGTAATTTGAAAAAACAGTTGAGCTGTGTCATGACAAAACCAACATAATGCGTTTGCGACCAGCATGGATCCAGACCAGCCTGCGCATCCGCGCAGTCTGATCAAGATCCATGCTGTTCGCTTACAAACCCTATTACAAGTAGAGAAACTGATAGGGAACAGCATGGATCCTGATGAGACTGCGCGGATGCTCAGGCTGGTCTGGATCCATGCTGGTCGCAAACCCATTATGTTGGTTTTGTTGTGACGCGGCTCAGTTGTTGTTTTTTTGTGTACAAATATCACACAGCTTTAATGTTACTTTGTATTGCACCCATTGCCTTAATATATGGTGCACCCATTGATTCAATGGGGAGAGAACACTATCTTGTAATATGACCGTGTAATGAACAGAATTAATAAAAAGTATATTTGGCTATCCCATATTTTTACAATTTTGGTTGAAATATAGCATTGTTGATCATTGATTGTAAATTGAGTGTTGATTAATTATCAATACCTTCACGGCCAATGTAGCTTAAAACTGTTTTTAAAATATGTGCTGAATAGAATAAATTAAAGAAACCCCACGTAGATCCAAAAGCCTAAAACCATCAAATATGAATTTCCTACAAACATGTAGATCAGCTGGGACATTTAAAACAGAATGATTAAATATGCAAAAGATGTTTAAGGAATATACTAAAAAATAAGTTGAAAATTGTATTTTTGAGCTATTCATAGCCCAGTTAGAGGTAAACGTAAACGTAGTGCAACGCTTTTCAATTTTGGTTCATTTACAGCGATTAAAATAATTAATTTGTAAAAGTGGAGAGAGCAAATGATCTGAAATTTTACACGTTATTGGTCTATATCACTAGATATGGAACTTTAATCACAAAAATTATTTCCAGTCCCATCATGTCAAAAAACCTCAGTGGAGTCCCTAAAGTGTATTACGTTATCCAGCATTATATGAATCTGTTTCAGATATGTTGTTGATCATAAATTGAATATTAATTATCAATTGATTTGTGACCAAATTAGCTTAGTATAAGACTGGTGCTATACATGTATTGAACAATAAGATGGAAAAGTTGGCAGGTGAATGGGTTACTGTCAATCTTTACTGCCATGCCGGTGCTAAACAAAATACAGACAACAAAATTATAGCCTAGCATGGATGTGCACACTGGTCTGGCCTGGCTCTTGGCTGATCACTTTGGATCCAATTTTTTTAGCAGGTGAAGTGTTCAAAGTTAACTGTACATTGTTGTAGCATCAACTGTATTTGTGGCCAGTATAAGAATGTTAGTACATTCAACCACGGATTTATATTACAAGGATCGGACACTCCCAGTTAACCCTATATAAATGCTTAAATATCTTGTCGTGCACCCGATAAAGGTACATAGATCGATAATTTACCGGCGCTAAGCGTAAATGCCCGTTCGCAACGGATACCTACTTTACAAAATATCATACAGCTTTTCCATTTATTATCTGATTTTGGAAATTTAAAGTTTATTTTGAAGAAAAATACTTGTTTAATTCAAATATCTAATTTATTTTTTAAAGGTACAGTTCATCTGTCCGCAACGACGATTAAAAAATTAACTTGACGAAATCGGCGGTAAATTTACGTTTTTTATATAAAAAGCAGGTACAGTGAAATTTGAGAAAACCGGACGCTGAGAAAATCGGAACTCTCTAAATACCGGACGAATAATTCAGTCCCAAATTTTCCCTTCTTTAAACTATTGTATTAAACATTGACAATACCGGAATCTGTCAAAACCGAATATCGGACGGTTGAAAGGGGACTACAAAGTCCATTATATAGACAATTACCCTGACAATACCGGACGGCGAAGGTGTGAATAACGTTGTGTACTTATCAATTGGTTGTGTCTAATACGCTAACTGAGCGGTAACGGAACAATAATTATCTGATTTGTTAATTATGTCTCTTTTTACAGTTAGATGTTACCGTTTAAATGCACGAGAAATTGATAAGTTAAAATCAGTATGAATGAAAAATAGAATATTATTATACTGCATTGCTTTTTGTATATTCATTTCCCAAAATGACAACGCAACGGAAACGACATTTATCAGTGCGAGGTTCTATTCCATAGCCTAAAAGAATTCGACGAGAGCTGTCTATAAGTGACAAATTTGAATTAGTTAAAGACAGTGAAACTTTGCCGAGACCTACTTTAAAAATCTCTATCTGAATAATATGGTATAAGCAATATTTACAATTGGCGCATTATTATAAACAAACAAAGTAAACTATGTTCGTTAAATCATTATCCATTACCCAAATGTAAACATATACGGGTGTAATTGAACTTTATCGTTATGAGGTAACTGCTGTTCGTTTAAATCCAAAATTTTATTGTATTTATATGCAATAATTGGACAAAAACAATTAAAACATATTCAGCATCTTGTGTAAGTTATTGCTCGGTTTATAGGATCCTGAATAGCTGAAGGGGACATTGAGAATACCGGACCGCTGAGAAAACCGGACAAAACCCTCGGTCCGAAAGCCGTCCGGTTTTCTCAACTTTCACTGTATTTGAAATTTATTATTACGGTACCATAATATTTCAAAATAAAAAAGAAGCCGATGTTAGTTATTCACAGATGATCAAAGATGCGATATTTAAGATTTATTGGGTTATTTAGTCAAATTTATTAACGCACAATTGTTTTACGGGTAATGTATTGCGGCCTTTACAATTCGCTCAACATGTGAAGAAAAACTATTCATTTTTTTTTAGTACAAAATATTGCCGAGATTGTCAATATTGCCATATTCATAGAATATTTAAATTTCATTCATCATTTATATCATTATTCTTTTTTTTTTGTAAATCTGTTTTCAAATGTCGGTGCAGTGAAGTAGACAATTATCGTAACAGTAAAGTACTCTCGTGCCGGCCTTTTTAATGTCACTCGTATATTTTAATCCGTATATTTTAATTATTATTAATTATTATTTTTTAGCTCACCTGTCACAAAGTGACAGGGTGAGCTTTTGTGATCGCTTTTCGTCCGGCGTCCGTCCGTCGTCCGTCCGTCCGTCGTCCGTCCGTAAACTTTTACTTTAAATGACATCTCCTCATAAACCACTAAGCCAATTTCATCCAAACTTCACAGGAATGTTCCTTTGGTGGTCACCTTTAAAAATTGTTCAAAGAATTTAATTCCATGCTGAACTCTGGTTGCCATGGCCGAAAGAAAAAACTTTAAATATCTTCTTTTAAAAAACCATAAGAGCTAGAGCTTAGATATTTGGCATGAAACATCTTCTAGTGAGTGTCTACCAAGTTTGTTCAATTAAAAGCCCTGGGGTCAAAATTGGCCCCGCCCCGGGGGGTCATTGATTTCCCCTATATGCATATAGTAAAAACTTAAAAAAATTTCTTTTAAAGAACCCAAAGAGCTAGAGCTAAGATATTTAGCATGAAACATGTTCTAGTAAGTGTCTACCAAGTTTGTTCAAATAAAAGCCCTGGGGTCAAAATTGGCCCCGCCCCGGGGGGGGGTCATTGATTTTCCCTATATGCATATAGTAAAAACTTAAAAAATCTTCTTTTAAAGAACTCAAAGAGCTATGGCTAAGATATTTAGCATCAAACATGTTCTAATAGGTGTCTACCAAGTTTGTTCAAATAAAAGCCCTGGGGTCAAAATTGGCACCGCCCCGGGGGTCATTGATTTTCCTTATACGTGTATAACAAAAACTTAAAAAATCTTCTTTGAAAAAACCCAAATAGCTAGAGTTAAGATATTAAGCATGAAACATCTTTTAGTGAGTGTCTACAAAGTTTGTTCAAATAAAAGACCTGGGGTCAAAATTGGCCCCGCCCCGGGGGTCATTGATTTTCTTTATATGTGTATAGCAAAAACTTAAAATCTTCTTTGAAAAAACCCAAATAGCTAGAGTTTAGATATTAAGCATGAAACATCTTCTAGTAAGTGTCTGCAAAGTTTGTTCAAATAAAAGCCCTGGGGTCAAAACTGGCCCGGCCCCAGGGGTGTCATTGTTTTTAACTATATGTGTATAGTAAAAACTTAAAAAAAATCTTCTTTTAAAAAGCCCAATGAGCTAGAGCTTAGATGTTTAGCATGAAACATCTTCTTATGGGTGTCTACCAAGTTTGTGCAAATAAAAGCCCTTGGGTTAAATTGGCCCTGCAAGGTTGGGGGGGATGGTTGGGGGGGGGGGCCTATATACAGGTGAGCGACCTCAGGGCCATCATGGCCCTCTTGTATTTGAATGCCTGTAGAAAGATATATCTGAAACTTTTTAATGTAACGCTAGAAAAACAATAAAAATCTTTACAGTTTGAGTCAGTATTTTGCGAAATAAAAGTAACTTTTGATTATTTTTTACACATCGCTTAATTTTTTTTCAAGTTTAATTATTTTTGAAGGGGGTAATTACCAGGTAACAAGCGATAATTGAAAAAGTTTATTTTCAAACTTTCCTTACCAAGTTACATGTGATAATTGCAACATTCAATCTTCAAAAACAAATAGAATTTGAATGTATATTTTGTATCTGCGCGGTCTCACGTGTGATAAGAAAATGATCCTGAAGAGGATATTATATAAATACAATGTAAATCTATTTTCTTTATTAACATTTATAAAAGAAATTGAAAATAAACAACTTAATTTGTATAGTCCTTTCTTTGAAAAATAATGAAAATAAACATATGACAAATAAATCATTTGACGTCAATTGTGAAGGATAACTATGAAAAAAATTTGTTTCAAAATAAAAAATAATATGTTCTGTATGCCAATAAAAATTTCTTCCTTGCCAAACTAATGAATTCATCTATATATGAACGCTTGTCTAGAATGATTTGAAAATATATTTAATACACTAATTAGTAGAGTATTTACTATATTTATACTAATATACAGGTAATCAAATAAAAAATGTACAAATCATTTGGAAATAATTCACAAAAATAAAGACACATTTCACACATGAATTTCTTTAAAAGTTTTTTAGCAATCAAGAAACAATTTTTTGCAATGCCACCATTAAACTATGTAAAAAATGATTATCTTAATCTGAATCGCGGTAATAATTTATGCTTGAAGTAAAAGGGCGTCAAAATGTAGAGAGAATGCCTAAACAATAGGCGAATATTTTTTAAATTAGGTACTTTTTAACTAAGCGTTGCAGCGTTCTATCGGCATATTTTCTTATATAAATACTTTAGCGACACAAAATAATACTGTATCAATACATTCATATGTGTATTATTTTTCACAAAGCTGCAATAACACCACATACTCTTGTGAAAATATGTCATATTTCGCACTCCGCGCGTTCCGCCTTCTCATTCTGTCCACCTTTATCCGATTCCGCGCATGTGCGCGACGGGACTTTTAGCTATACGAAAGTGTCCGATCCTTGTAATATAAATCCGTGATTCAACTTCTTGACCAAGAAAGCTTTCTTTTTTAATTATCTGGAATAGATGTTTTTTGTATATTGTTCATGTAGAATTATAGAATGAATTATAAATATTTTTCTAGATTTGATGTTGCCAGGTGTGATTGTACGTGGACAGTTAACTCCAGCCACATTTAAACACATAGAGAAAGGTCAAATCTGCTCTGTTAATATCTATGGAAATAGGTATGAAAATATACTAATTAATTTATCATAAGTTATGTTAAGTCCTTGCATTATTGTGTATAAAGCTATACACTATATGTGATTCAAAAATTGTTATTTTAATTTTATAAAAGACACTTTAAAAATAATCTTAAAAGACACTTTCAAAATAATCTATATTAAGGAAAATAGGTTTGAATAATTCCTTTAGATTGAATGGTGTATGGATTATATCATTGTCAAGCAGTGAAACCACTGCTTAAAATAGCAGCATGATATTTTGATCCGGAACATTTTATTATGTTTACGTACATTATCCATGTGTGTTAAATGACAGAGACAGTGTATGTTACAACTCTTTAGAGAATCCACCATAAGATTATCGAAATAATATAAATTCACTATTGAAAAATTTAACAGCGTTAGTGTGGATTTGAAACTTAACTGCTTTGCATTCCTGTTATCCACACCAATTTCAAAATTTGAGCTGCGTCATGACAAAACCAACGTAATGCGTTTGCGACTAGCATGGATCCAGACCAGCCTGCGCATCCATGCAGTCTGATCAGGATCCATGCTGTTCGCTTACAAACGCTATTACAAGTAGAGAAACTGATAGCAAACAGCATGGATCCTGATCAGACTGCGCTGATGCGCAGGCTGGTCTGGCTCCATGCTGGTCGCAAACGCATTATGTTGGTTTTGTCGTGATGGGGCTCATTTTTATTTAAATTAACCATGTTTTCATATGTTGTGTGATTACATCTTGTTCTATAAGTAATGTACTTTTATATTTTTTGTGTATTGTTTTTTCTAGTGAATGAATATGAGATTTTTCTCCTAAATATTTGGTAACACATAAAGTAAGAACTTAGTGATAAATATTATGAAGAAGAAAAAAAAAAAACGCCCTGAATACTTGTTTGTTATATTGAGATTTAAAGTTCAATTTAAAAGGGTAAACAAGATTTTTGAAGGCAATGAATTGGCTTCTTATGTACATGTAGTTTGGTCCTGCACTCAAGAACAACATTTAAAATCAGTGCATGCAACAATATAGATTGTTTCATATAAGTTATTCAGAACAAGTGTACAAAGTCATCATTTTTGTTTGTTTTTGTTTTTGTATTTTTTTTAGTTTTGAGAAATATCATATTTGGATTCCATAAAAAATACTTACTATTAACATCATTTTTGGTGTTCGATGAAAAATACTGCTATATTTGTTTTTAATGCACACAAATCTTTTATCTATATAGAATATAATGTATCTGCAGCAATTTAGTACTCTGAAAAGTACAGTAGTACTAGTGCAGCATGACATATGCACTTTGAGGGATGTGCTAGAATGTATTAACTTTGTACAACTTCATGCAGACCTGTTTTCCCCCTCGGAAATAGCTCTCTGGTGAGAACTAAAAAGTGATTATCTGTGCTATTAATAATTTATCTTGCAAAATACAAAATCACCTTCCATCAGCACTTTAAGTACTTTGTTAATACCACTGTGTAACATATCTATCTTTATGCTTATTTGCCATGTCTAGATATTGAGTTTTAAATGAATTATATCACTGTTACAGATGTCCTGTAGGTGTAGACACTAATTTTCCATGTGTAGATATTGAGTTATAAATTATTTATATCACTGTTACAGATGTCCTGTAGGAGTAGGTCAAACACTACTGTCAGGTAGTGACTTCTTTGACTCTGGTATGAAGGGGAAAGGCATTCATCCCATTCATCTATTAGGAGATGAGTTATGGTAAGTTTAATAGTATATACCGGTTATAAAAATATAGTTTTAATTTTATGTTTGGTTTTATTTTTCAGAAATGTTAATAAAAATATGTTTTAAGGGTATATTTATTTCTGTTCTTTACAGAATTATTGGGGTAATATTATAAAAAATATTAATACTTTTATGTAACTTACTGAAAACCTTATGAAAATTTAACCTGAATTTCCAGACATTTTATAATAGTTTGAATGTCACAATTGTGTGTTTCATCTTACTAAGAAAGGGATAATTACAGTGTAACTTCCGAAAACCGAACACCCATGGGACTTGCCAAAAAGTTCGGATTTCAGAGGTTTCCGGAATTCAGAGGTTTATGATAATGTACGTGGACAAGACTAAGCCACTTAATATCACTAAATGTCAAGGAAGATGTGGCCATTACTGTAATATCATATATAATAGTCTTTTAATCAAGATAAAGATGTGAATGAAAAGAATACATTTTTATCTTACACCTGCAAATGCTTTTGAATTTCTATCAGTTTGTAGAAATGTTGTTAATTGCATAAACTTACATATCGTCCGATGCTAGTTAATAAATTATTACATCAAATGCAATAAAATCCCTATAGACGTTTGATGCATACATTGTCCCAACTAATTGTGATTTAATCCGCTAATAAACACTTCAATTAACTGACCGCGGTAAATTACTTTGATTAACCGCATCACTTCAAACATACCATTTCACAGTTTGTGATTTTAACGTGTGTCAAATTACACGATCACCGCTAATTAGTAAACAATCGATAGGGAGATTAAATCTTCCTGCAGGGTAAACATTCTCGATTTACAATGTATTTCACACCTTTAGATATTTCGGTTTTCGGAGGTAAAATTGCATTGATTTGACTCAAATTTTACGAAAATATCGTCCGGAATTCAGAATTTAGAAGTTCCGGAATTCAGAAGTATTATATTAATAGAAAATAGAAGGGAAAAAATCGGGACCGAAAAAATTGTTCGGTTTTTAGAAGTTTCCGGATTTCAGAAGTTCCGGAATTCGGAAGTTACACTTGGCATTATGCAGGTGACTGTAAGATCTTTAAGTTACAAATTCTGTGTGCCGAAACAAACAAACAAAATAAACAAGCAAATAAAAAATAACTAAAGATATATTTACATAAGATGCAAATAAAAGCAACATATGTTTTAGCTTAAATATTTGTGATTTTGTTCACCATGCCTTAAGTTTTAATATGTTACCTATCAAATGTGCTTTCATGAAAATGGTCATTCAGTTACGAAGGGTTCAGATGTCATTTGTGTGATGTCTTAAGGGGATTCTCTGATAAACTGATATCTGGAAAAATGTTTTGCATTTTATTGTGTCGCCTCTACGGAGTAGTGGCGACATCCGTAGAGGCGACATATAGGGATCACTTGTCCGTCGTCTGTCTGTCCGTCTGTCTGTCTGTCTGTCCGTCTGTCCGTCCGTCACAAAACTTGTCCGGACTACCCCTCATAAACTACTGGTGCAATTTCATCCAAACTTTACAGGAATGATCAGTATCAAGTCTAGTTGTGCATATTGTCAGCATTTTCCGGTTCAATGATTTTTGTCAGAGTTATGGCCCTTTAATAATTTTTAATTTTAAAGTTTGTCCGGACTACTTCTCTTATACCACTAATGCAATTTCAATGAAACTTTACAGGATTGATCTGTAGCTCAAGTCCTTGCGCATATTGCAAGGGTTTTCCGGTTGAATGATTTTTGGTCGAGTTATGGCCCTTTGATAAAAAGGTGTTTTTTTGTGTGTGTTGCCAGATACACAAAAGCTTGTCCAGACTACTCCTCATAAACAACTGGTGCAATTTCATCCAAGCTTTACAGGAATGATCAGTACCAAGTCTAGTTGTGCATATTGTCAGCATTTTCCGGTTCAATGATTTTTGTCAGAGTTATGGCCCTTTAATAATTTTTATTTTTAAAGTTTGTCCGGACTAGTTCTCTTATACCACTTATGCAATTTCAATGAAACTTTACAGGATTGATCTGTAGCTCAAGTCCTTGCGCATATTGCACGGGTTTTCCGGTTGATTGATTTTTGGCTGAGTTATGGCCCTTAGATAAAAAGGTGTTTTTTTCTGTGTGTTGCCAGATACACAAAAGCTTGTCCGGACTACTCCTCATAAGCTACTGGTGCAATTTTATCCAAACTTTACATGATTGATCAGTACTTAGTCTAGTTGTGCACTGTCCGTCTGTCTGTCTGTCTGTCACAAAATTTGTCCCAACATGAAATTGGCCATTATGAGGCGACACATGTGATTACTGATCGCTCTTGTTAAAATTTAAAAATTGTTAAAATCAGTGAAACATATTGTCTATGTTAGAATAAGGTTATAAAGCAAGAATCAGGAACTTAATATATACAGATATTTGATACCAGTAATATGTCTAAAATATTAATTAATAGCCCTTTCTTTAAAGTTAGGTGATGACAAAATTCTGCCAATTTCATTTGAATTTCTTAAGCTACCAGTATGTTTTTTTTATGCCACCGCAGAATCTGCGATGTGGTGGCATATAGCGATTCACCTGTGTGTGTGTGTGTTTGTTTGTTTGTGTGTGTGTGTGTGTGTTATAAAGATTATATAGTGAACTTAAAAAATCTTCTAGTGAAAAACCACTAGTCCAATTTCAACCAAACTTGGCAGGATTGATCCTTAGGTGAAGGGCGTCCAAAGTTCTTCAAAGAATTTCATTCCATGCAGAAATCTGGTTGCCATGGCAACCAAAAGGAATTATAAGAATAAATTTAAAAAATCTTCTTGTAAAGACCCAAAAGGCCTAGAGCTTAGATATTTTGCATAAGGCATTGTCTGGTAGACCTCTACCAAGATTGTTCAAATTATAGCCCTAGGGTCAAAATCAGCCCCGCCCCGGGGGTCATTGATTTTCACTACATGTACATATAGTAAAAACTTAAAATACCTTCTTTTATCACATAAACCGCGGCGCAGGAGTGTAATAAAGCCATTTAATAAAAACGATATTACACTAGGCGATATTACACTAGTGTAATAACACTTTGACGTCACGTCATTTGCACTATAAACATAGCGTTAAAGCGCGCTAATGTTAGCGTTACACTATAGGCGCGTCAAAGTAAAATGACTCTTGTTAACAGTTTACCGTTCTTATTTTATATATGTGATAAATAGAATATTATATTCGTGTAGATTCAATACTAAATTTATTGAACTCGTTGAATAAAACAATATTATGCTCGCCAGAAGAGGCTCGCATAATATGATTTTATTCAACTCGTTCAATAAATTTAGTATTAAACCTACACTCATTCAATATCCTCTATGTAAAGACCCAAAAGGCCTAGAGCTTAGACGTTTTGCATAAGGCATTGTCTGGTAGACCCTTACCAAGATTGTTCAAATTATAGCCCTGGGGTCAAAATCGGCCCCGCCCCGGGGATCATTGATTTTCACTATATGTACATATAGTAAAAACTTAAAATACCTTCTTGTAAAAGCCTAGAGCTTAGATATTTTGCATAAGGCATTGTTTGGTAGACCTCTACCCAGATTGTTCAAATTATAGCCCTGGGGTCAAAATCGACCCAGCCCTGGGGGTCATTGGTTTTTCTTATATGTATATATTAAAAACTTATAGTAAAAACTTAAAAAAAAATTCTTCTAGCAATTGACAAATGCTAAAGGTTAGATATTTTGTATGAAACATTGTGTAGTGAACCTCTAGCAAGATTGCTCAAATTATAGCCCTGGGGTTAAAATTGCCCCCGCCCAGGGGGTCATTGATTTTGCAATATATACATATAGTAAAAAATCAAAAAATCTTATTGTCTGAAGGTACAAGGCTTAGAGCTTTAATATTTGTTAAATAATATCATCTATAGTTACCAAAGTTGTTCAAATTTTGCCCCGAGTGTCAAAATTAGACCTGCCCCGGGGGCCATAGGTTTTCCTTATATGTATATAGTAAAAACTTAAAAAATCATCTTCTCTAAATTTACCAAGGCTAGAGTTAAGATATTTTGCATGAAACATTGTGTAGTGAACCTCTAGCAAGATTGTACAAATTATAGCCCTGGGGTCAAAATTGGCCCCCCCTCAGGGGTCATTGATTTTCACTATGTACATATAGTAAAAAATTAAAAATCTTCTTGTCTGAAGGTACAAGGCTTAGAGCTTTGATATTTGGTATATAATATCATCTATGGGTCCTCTACTAAAGTTTTAATTATGCCCCTAGTGTTAAAATTGCCCTGCCCCAGAGGCAATAGTTTTCCTTATATGTATAAAGTAAAAACTTGAAAAATCTTATCTGAAATGACAAAGACTAGAGGTTAAATATATGGCATGAGACTTTGCGAAGTGAACCTCTACCAAGATTGTTCAAATTATAGCCCTGGGGTCAAAATTGGCCCTGCCTGGGGGCAGTGATTCTCATTATGTACACATAGTAAAAACAGAAAATAAAACAAATGTTTTCTGAATGGGAGAAAGCTACAGCTTAGATATTTGACTTGAAATGTTGTTTGGTGGACCTGTATCAAGATTGTTTTGAATTAAACCCTTGGGTCAAAATTTTGCCTTGCCCAAGGGGACAGTGACCTACTTTCTTGTCCTTTGATGTACAGCAATGAAATTTTGACCATGTGCACAGTTTTAGTTGTAAAATTGAACTTTGATATCAGGTGACCTAGATTTTGATGATGTGACCTACTTTCTTGTCCTTTGATGTACAGCTATGAAATTTGAATCATGTGCACAGATTAAGATGTAAAGTGAACTTTGATATCAGCTGACCTAGATTTTGACAAAGTGTCTTACTGTGTTGTCCTTTGATGTAGTCATGAAATTTAGGCTGTGTGAAATATGACCTTCACCACCAAATTCACTAGACTCAAGTGCATTGATATATTCCTACTCTGATCTTTTATTGGATTAACAATAGATTTAACCACTAATCTGATAATAAGAATTAGATTGGTCAGGGATCTATGCATTATGACAATCTTCAATTGTATAGAAACAAAAAAAATCTGTTCCTACACTACTATTTAGTGTTGAATTAATGCGGTGGCATAGCATTTTTCTCAAATGCAATCTTGTTTTCTTGAGTATTTTTAGCTCACCTGTTACTTTGTGACAGGGTGAGCTTTTGTGATCGCTTTTCGTCTGTCGTCCGTCCGTCCGTCGTCCGTAAACTTTTACTTTAAATGACATCTCCTCATAAACCACTTAGCCAATTTCATCCAAACTTCACAGGAATGTTCCTTTGGTGGTCACCTTTGAAAATTGTTTGAAAAAGAATTTAATTCCATGCAGAACTCTGGTTGCCATGGCAACCAAAAGAAAAAACTTTAATTATCTTCTTCTAAAAAACCCAAAGAGCTAGAGTTTAGATATTTAGAATGAATCATCTTCTAGTGAGTGTCTACCAAGTTTGTTCAAATAAAAGCCCTGGGGTCATGGATTTTCCCTATATGCATATAGTAAAAACTTAAAAAATCTTCTTTTAAAGAACCAAAAGAGCTAGAGCTAAGATATTTAACATGAAACATCTTCTAATGGGTGTCTACCAAGTTTGTTGAAAAAAAAAGCCCTGAGGTCATTGATTTTTCCTATGTGCATATAGTAAAAACTTAGAAATCTTCTTTTAAAGAACCCAAAGAGCTAGAGCTAAGATATTTAGCATGAAACATGTTCTAATGGATGTCTACCAAGTTTGTTCAAATAAGAGCCCTGGGGTCAAAATTGGCCCCGCCCCGGGGGACATTGATTTTCCTTATATGTGTACAGCAAAACTTAAAAATCTTCTTCGTAAAAACCCAAATAGCTAGAGTTTAGATATTAAGCATGAAACATCTTCTAGTAAGTGTCTACAAAGATTGTTCAAATAAAAGCCCTGGGGTCAAAACTTGCCCTGCCCCAGGGGTGTCATTGTTTTTAAATATATGTGTAAAGAAAAAATTTAAAAAATCTTCTTTTAAAAAACCCAATGAGCTAGACCTAAGATGTTTAGCATGAAACATCTTCTATTGGGTGTCTACCAAGTTTGTTCAAATAAAAGCCCTGGGGTTTAAACTGGCCCCACTCCAGGGGGCCTATATACAGGTGAGCGACTTCAGGGCCATCATGGCCCTCTTGTTTTTAAAATGTGATTACATATGTGAAGACGTGTAGCTTTCAGTTATATGTGATATATATTAGGGCATTTGGGGATAAATCCTCACCACCTGTCATAGATGATGATCCTATACCTGTAGAGCTAGAGGAGGAGTTGGCTGCTGGAAGTGGAGAATCAAAAACTACTGTTGCTGGTGACATTAATGGAGAGCCAGCTGATGTAGTGGATAATGGAAATGGTAAAATACAATATAAATTGACAAATTTGGTGACATAAAAAAATTAGATAAATACTAACTAGAAATGTGTCCATAGGACACGGGTGCCCCCACCGCGCCACTGTTCTTTCAATCTTTTTACTAAGTCAAGGGAAATAACTCTACAAATACTGGATAAATCCACAAGCGAGATCCGAGGTGTAAATCTAAAATATGCTGAGCAACCTGCCCATTAGGTTTAATGACTATGTCAAATCCTTTTTGAGAAACTTGCGACACAAGTTGAAAATTGCAAAAATTTTCTAAGTGAAGGGCAATAACTCTAAAAATACTAAATAAATCCAGACGAAAATACCTGGTGCACAACTGCACATGCTGATCAATATTCCTGTAAAGTTATATGACTCTAGGTCAAATACTTTTTGAGTTACATGCGACACATGTTGAAAATTGCCAAATTTTACTAACTCAAGGGCAATAACTCTAAAATTACTAAAAATTTCCAGAGGAAAATACCCAGGTGCACAACTTCACATGCTGATCAACATTCCAGTAAAGTTTCATGACTCTATGTCAAATACTTTTTGAGTTACGTCCGACACAAGTTGAAAATTGCAAAATTTTACTAAGTCAAGGGCAATAACTCTGAAAATACTAATAATATCCAGACGAAAATACCCAGGTGCACAACTACACATGCTGATCAACATTCCTGTAAAGTTTTATGACTCTAGGTCGAATACTTTTTGAGTTACGTGCGACACAAGTTGAAAATTGCAAAATTTTACTAAGTCAAGGGCAATAACTCTGAAAATACTAAAAATATCCAAACGAAAATACCCAGGTGCACAACTACACATGCTGATCAACATTCCTGTAAAGTTTCATGACTCTAGGTCAAATACTTTTTGAGTTACGTGCGACACAAGTTGAAAATTGCAAAATTTTACTAAGTCAAGGGCAATTACTCTGAAAATACTAAAAATATCCAGACGAAAATACCCAGGTGCACAAATACACATGCTGATCAACATTCCTGTAAAGTTTCATGACTCTAGGTCTAATACTTTTTGAGTTACATGCGACACAATTTGAAAATTGCAAAATTTTACTAAGTCAAGGGCAATAACTCTGAAAATACTAAAAATATCCAGACGAAAATACCCAGGTGCACAACTACACATGCTGATCAACATTCCTGTAAAGTTTCATGACTCTAGGTCAAATACTTTTTGAGTTACGTGCGACACAAAAGTGAACGGACGGAAGGACGGACGGACGGACAGACGGACGGACGGACGGACGGACAAGGGTAAATCTAAATGCCCGCCACTAACGTGGGGGCACAATAAAAAGAGAACAAAACCATTAATATACCTCCTTCCTATCAAATAGGTTTACAGGTACGCTTTTTTTTTTGCACAATAAATTCACAACATTATCAGTGAGATTTTCACACTGTGCTATGTGTCTTTTCCTAGGGACATCCCATTTCTGTCCGTCAGCAGCCTTGTTAGTGATATGGGCTGGCAACCAACTTTCAGTAGACAAATGACTAGTGTTTCTAATTTTTGGCATAGACTGTGTATGATGCCTAGGTCCAGAACAAACTACAAGGTTTTATGTATGCTTATTTAGTTGTTAGTACAAGATGTAAAAACTGGTGTTTCAGAACAAAACAAATTTTTAATGATCTTGAATGTAAAGAAAATTTGTAATATTGATAATATGCTATCGATAAAAGCTATGTTAGAAAAAGTTCAATCTAGAACAATGCAAAGTTTTATTGCCAAGTGGAATGTTAATGTTACATCTGAAAGAAGTAGAAGCGGGGTCGGTGGCAGTAAAATAGGCAGTTTATGACAACTTTTGGAACTGAGGAATATTGCAAAATCATACTACCCCGCTGCCACAGGTCCATTTTGCTTAGTTCAGATGTGGAACTGCACCACTAAGAAGAGAGACAGGTAGATATGAATGCCTACCAGTAAATAAAAGGCTTTTTCCTTTGTAATGACAAGGTAGAAAGTGAATTTCACCCTGTAATGCAATGTTTTATGTATGAAGATATTCGTGTGAGTGTCGAAAACCCACAATTTCACACAATGACAACTATGGAGAAGTTTATTTTTATATTCTCAAATACGAGTTGTGTACGATATATTGCCAAAACCTGCTTTGACATACTTAAGAGAAGGGTTACTTTCCTTTACAAATAAGAATATACAAATTGCTCCTTTTTGCGACGGACGCGCCTGAGTGCGTTCAGAGCTAAGTCATCTACACATGGGATTTCATCGGCTACAATTGCGCAAAGTGTCCTCAACCGATTAACAGCCCAAGAAATAGTACATGAATTTGATCCTTTAAAACTCCCACACTTTGTCGGGATATCTTAAAATCTTCCATATTTAGCCTTTTCAATTTCAAATTAAGTTATCCAAGTTAAAATATGAACGTATATGATTGATAAAAACGTTGTATTCACGTAGTATTATTGCGCAATATGCAAATTACTGCCGAAACGATTTACTGCTGTCGAAAAAGTAGGACAGCAAATTATACTATAATAAAGGTGTAAGCTTTGAGTTCCAAGAAATTATTAGTAGGAAATAAATATTTCTACATTATACTAAACATTTTTATTAACAAATCAAAAGTTTTTCGTGACTCTAGAATAACTCGTGCATTAATAAAAGAAGAACTATTTCCGTGACTCATAGCGCGAAGTTAAGCTGAATATTCAGCAGTTGTTAATAAATTAGATACTGTACAATGGTTAGTATAAATATCTATTTTTGAAAATGCATGTAACAAGAGAGTTTTTCAACACTTTACCACCATATAGTCTTTCATGGTAATCTTTATTGAAGGAAGTTATAATATCAGTTCTACTTCTGATTCTTGTGGTTTGTTTACATATTTTCTAGGTCAAGATATGAGTTAACCTTCGCTATTCTTAAAATAGATTCTGCTTCACCTGTGCTGATTTTCGGACAGGCGATTAGGGAGTACACATTATACATGTAATAAACCAGCGGGTTACATGCAATACTTTTAGAAATTCTATACAATTGTAAGAAGCAAACAAGTTGAAAATGGAATTTAGTGTGAAATTGAAAAGGACAACTAAACACTGTTGTGCTTAAGTGACATTTAAATTAAAATAAAAACGATGTGCTCTGGCCTCTACATCTTTACCTTGTAAATAAAAAAATCTAAAAAATACACCATTAATTGCTGATGATTTTAACCAAAAATATTTTTAATGAGACATATCCAAGAGAAATAAAAGTACAAATGACTTATATTTTATTGTCTATATGCCCACTATGATATAACACGAAGCAATTCTAAATAGCATTCTCACATGTATAATGTATTATGCTTGAAGTTTATTTGCATGGTTTTATTTTAGAAATATTACGTTGACAGTTTCTTTTTCTATTTACATATCATTTCTTAGAATAAATCGATAAGGACACTGATTTACAAGTTTGACCAGAGTTTTTAGGCATAAGTTTCATTCTGTATTTAAATGCTTGAAAGTAGAAAATCTGAATTATATCAGATTGGGACACAAAATATATTGCTCTACAAATCTCGAACTTGTATGGAACAAATTTTCTCTGTTATATATTTTGTTTTTTGTTTTTTGTTTTTTTTTTCTAAAAAAAGCCTTAATGTCTCTCCGGTTGCTTGTCCGTCGCATTCAGTGCTGCAGCACTTTGATTTATGGTTTGTCTTTTTATGTACTTATTTTTATCTTCCTTTAAAATATGTACATTGTATATAAAAGAATAACAGATAAATGTTTTTACTAGAGATAAATGTTTTATCTACACCAAGACTGTGGTCTCTAGCACTTATCAAATATTCTTATTAAATTTTCAAATAATGAATATTATTTATATAGTTTATATAGTCTTAGATAAATTTAATTGGACAGTATAGAAATTTATAGTGAAAATAGTCTTAGGAAATTTTATTTGACAGCATATGGTTTTATAAATATCAATTTGACTTTTAATAAATGACATACTTAATAAATGACATACATGTACTTTCCAAGGTTTAATGATATATAATGGTCAATTTTTCTTCTTACAATTTGCATTTAAACATTTTAGTATTGTTTTATTCATTGTGTCCCATTTTATACCAGAATGTAAAAATAACATGCAATAGTGTGAATATATTGATGTTATATCTTTAACCTTTTAATGAATGATAATGATCATATGAAATTTGTGTAGCTAGGGGGGACAATTTCTCAGTGCATAAAAGAATAAAATGCTTGATATGGTCTGTGGAGTTGTCTCCCTTATAGGCAAAAGTAAATAGTGTTTAGCATGGCTTTTTATGTATTTTATGTTTGTGTTTTATTATTTATATATTTTTATGTATACATGTAAAGATGAGACTGAAATAAATAAATAAACTGTTAAATAAATTTGTAATGCTGATAATGACTATTAATGTTTTGAACAAAAATAAATATCAGGTTTTAATGTTTTGGACAAAAATGAATATAAGAAGTGCAAAAAAAGTATTTTGTAGCTTTTATGAGTTTTCTTTTTTTGCTAAAAATTTTTGGTTGGTGTTGTATTCCATAGAAATTCATATGGTAATTTCCTTTATGTATCAACCGACGAAGCTAATAAAGGGAAACAATTTTTTTGTATTGATATTTAAAAATGTGTTGGTTTTTATCTATTTGTTCTTTAGAAATTCATCGAAATTTGAAATATGACTATGTTATATATATACTAGGAAGTGCTATAGATGACACATCACCAGATGATCTTACAGATATGTTACCAGAATCTCAGACCGGGGCAGAAAAATGTGTTGGTGATGATGAAAAAACAGTAGACGGTGCCTCAGGTGGTACAATAGATGAAGTTAACATGGAACAGCTAGATATTCAACAACAACCGGTCAGTCTTGTTACTTCTTCTGTTGATAATTATTGGCCTTGCATTGTTTTGGGAATGTTATTAAGATGGTAATGTTTGTACAGTAAAATCTAGTGCTGAAATCTTTTACTGCATTTATATAATTATGCCGTACTTACTTGTAATATTTGTAACAAAGAAATGATGTATGTATCAAAGTGATTAATTATCTTATTCTCATAAACTTATCTTATAAACTTATCATTTTACTAGATTTGATGATAGATTGCTAAATTAAAAAAATGTTTTACTTCTTTTTTTTTAGTCTCATACACAATTCATGCTATTTTCATTTTTTTAATCCTTAACCATCTGGAATCGAAACTGACTTGCCTTTGTCACTAGTACAAAGCTAGGCCAGCTTGCACATGTTTGCAATCTGACCAAGTTCTATATTGTTGGTAGTTCAATTTCTATATTCATACCTCCTACATGCAAGATGCTCAGAAGGCTAAGTTTTGTGTTTCTTTACACAGGAAACTATTTCTTTTTAAATGTATTTTTCCTCTACAAAAGTAAGTCCATTTTCAACCTCTCCCTGTCAGCTTCTTTTAAGGACATTTATAGGGGTATGAATGATATTTTGAGATGGTTTTCACATTATTAACTTGGCAGATCTGTTACATAAATTAAGCAGGTGAAGGTTAAATGTTAAATTATCATTATAGGAGGAAAATGAAGATGATGTTACAGACGAACCTGCCACTTTAACACCAGGTAACATAATTATACATGTAGTGTCTGCTTATAGCAAGTTGACTAAATTCCCAGGGGTGAGTTCAGGATTATATTTCAATTGTGACAGTTCTTTAAATGTCTATGAAACAGAATAAAAGTGTATTAAATAGTGAAACAGTATTAGTATAATTAAGATCTGCAAGTGTTCTTGTGTATTTTTGGGTGTTTTTTTTGTGTTTTTGTTCGATTTATTTTGCCAAACTTATAGCCAGTGTTTGGTCATATTCTCAATTAAGAATAGTATCTTTGTTTCTCAATTTTTTTTCTTCTTTCTTTAAATCACCAATGGAAACAGTTGTTTCTAGAAGGTTAAAGTTGTAAAATGCATGTACAGATATGTACACTATTTTTATACTTGAAATATCTTGGTGACTTAGACTACTCTTCATGTAAATTTCCAATTTTTACAAAACACTTCTGAAAAACCCAATCCTAATACTTGGGGAAAGAAAAGCAAAAACAGAAAAACAAACAAACAAACAAAAAACAAAGCAAATCAAGAGCTGGATTAATTAGTGTATATTATCAGCTATAAATGTTTTTTTCTTGAAAGCTTTTGGCCCAATATACATGGTCATAAGCCTATATGACCTGAACTGCTCTGGAAGGATTATATTACTAACAGTCTTTTATTTACAGCCATATAACCATAACAAATTTATAATATAGCACAATTCTTTATTTGAGAAAAAGTGAAAAATAATTCATGAAGCAGTTATGTATATAGATTATAAAAATATCACAATTATCCAATGAAAACTAGCATTACAAACATACTGGGGCCCACATGGAAGATCGGGAAACCAAATATGTTAGCCTCATTAAATAAAGTTGATACTTACTAACTTGCATTATTATGATTTTGTACATGTAATATAACTATAATTAGGTATCTTTGTATTATATCAGAGCAGATGGACGAACTGCTGCAGTTTTGTTTTTTGTGTGCTGTGAAAAGTTCCTTGAAGAAATCAGATTTACCAATTCCAACTGGTACATTCTACAAGCAGCATGTCATGAAATACTGGTAATGTCATTAATGTTATCTTTAAAACATTGAGTGAATTTGTTTTCTTGAAAAACACCACTTTTGGTTTAAATTTCTGTATCTGCTTGTGAGAAAGCTATCCAGCTAGCTTATGGAAGTTTGGTGGCTATACTGGCAAATTCCTTTTAAATACCCATGTAAATGGTTTTACATGTTTATATCTGGGTACCCTTGTAGGATGACAAATTTGTACTGCATAATTGTTGCATATAGCATAGATAAATGTGTGAAATAATATATCAACATAAATGAAAAGATTTTATGGTAAACTTTTTCAATTTTAAACACAGTAAAATATAGATAACATCACTACATCATACATGTTAAAAATGTCAGTAATGGCTTCAACTATTATTACTATCATGCAAATATCAACCCCCTTGTCATTTGATTTTTAGCTCACCTGTCACAAAGTGACAGGGTGAGCTTTTGTGATCGCTTTTCGTCCGGCGTCCGTCCGTCGTCCGTCCGTCCGTAAACTTTTGCTTTAAATGACATCTCCTCATAAACCACTGAGCCAATTTCATCCAAATATATCCAAATATATCCAAAATATCTTCTTTTAAAAAACCTAAAGAGGTAGAGCTTAGATATTTGGCATGAAACATCTTCTAGTGAGTGTCTACCAAGTTTGTTCAAATAAAAGCCCTGGGGTCAAAATTGGCCCCGCCCCAGGGGGTCATTAATTTTCCCTATATGCATATAGTAAAAACTTAAAAAATCTTCTTTTAAAGAACCCAAAGAGCTAGAGCTAAGATATTTAACATGAAACATGTTTTAATGGGTGTCTACCAAGTTTGTTCAAATAAAAGCCCTGGGGTCAAAATTGGCCCTGCCCCAGGGGGGTCATTGATTTTCCCTATATGCATATAGTAAAAACTTAAAAAATCTTCTTTTAAAGAACCGTAAGAGCTAGAGCATAGATATTTAGCATGAAACATCTTCTAGTGAATGTCTACCAAGTTTGTTCAAATAAAAGCCCTGGGGTCAAAATTGGCCCCGCCCCAGGGGGGTCATTGATTTTCCCTAAATGCATATAGTAAAAACTTAAAAAATCTTCTTTTAAAGAACCCAAAGAGCTAGAGCTAAGATATTAAGCATGAAACATCTTCTAGTGAGTGTCTACCAAGTTTGTTCAAATTAAAGCCCTGGGGTCAAAATTGGCCCGCCCCGGGGGGTCATTGATTTTCCCTATATGCATATAGTAAAAACTTAAAAAATCTTCTTTTAAAGAACCATAAGAGCTAGAGCTTAGATATTTGGCATGAAACATCTTCTAGTGAATGTCTACCAAGTTTGTTCAAATAAAAGCCCTGGGGTCATAATTGACCCCGCCCCAGGGGGTCATAGATTTTTCCCTATATGCATATAGTAAAAACTTAAAAAATCTTCTTTTAAAGAACCCAAAGAGCTAGAGCTAAGATATTTAGCATGAAACATCTTCTAATGAGTGTTTACTAAGTTTGTTCAAATAAAAGCCCTGGGGTCAAAATTGGCCCCGCCCCAGGGGGTCATTGATTTTCCCTATATGCATATAGTAAAAACTTAAAAAATCTTCTTTTAAAGAACTCAAAGAGCTAGAGCTAAGATATTTAGCATGAAACATGTTCTAATGGGTGTCTACCAAGTATGTTCAAATAAAAGCCCTGGGGTCAAAACTGGCCCCGCCCGGGGGGTCATTGATTTTCCTTATATGTGTATAGCAAAAACTTAAAAATCTTCTTTGAAAAAACCCAAATAGCTAGAGTTTAGATATTAAGCATGAAACATCTTTAAGTAAATATCTACAAAGTTTGTTCAAATAAAAGCCCGGGGGTCAAAACTGGCCCTGCCCCAGGGGTGTCATTGTTTTTAACTATATGTGTATAGTAAAAACCTTAAAAAATCTTCTTTTAAAAAACCCAATGAGCTAGAACTTAGATGTTTAGCATGAAACATCTTCTTATGGGTGTCTACCAAGTCTGTTCAAATAAACAAATAAAAGCCCTTGGGTAAAAATTGGCCCGGGGGTGGGGGGGCCTATATACAGGTGAGCGACCTCAGGGCCATCATGGCCCTCTTGTTTAATTCCAGCCCAAAAGATAAGACACTTGACATAAAGAAGTCCACCTACAAAAAGGTATGTCTTTGCTTTATTGGTATTCATGTAGAAAATTGATTTAAAATGAGAAAAAAAAAAAACAAACAAAAAATATATTAAGTGAAGTAATTGGTTCACACAATCTATATAATTATAATAATTTCTTATTTTGCAATTTGTCTTTTGAGCAGCCATTTAAAATAGAAAGTTTTTTATGCTAATCAAAGATTACAGCCCTGAGTGTTGTCAATGAATTGCAAAGCATCATAAATCATGCCTGTTTTATGTAGGTTATGTGATGGTTGCTGTTATGACAATTTAAGCTGATAAACCTCTCTGCAATTAATATTCTTAATTTTTTTATTTGATTGTATTACAAAATAATTTCGATGACTTCTATTTTAATTTCTAGTAATGTGTGACTTCTATTTTATTTTCTAATAAACATACAATTTTATTGATGATATTTGTTCTTATTGAGTTGATTTAAAAATGTACTACTGAAAATGAACAGATACAATATAAATGTGTCGCATATTTTGTATTCTATGCTAATAATTAGTTGATTATGAATTATCTTTCAGTTATCTAAATTCTTGCAAAAGCAAGCAAAGACTGGTATTGTAAAGGTAAAAGAATTGGCTAAAGGTGTAGACAGCATTACAGAAATAGACAAATCTCACCTGTCGTACGTACCATTTATTTCAACAATATTGCCAACACATACATTATCCTACAATTCTGTGACCTTAACCTGCAAGCTAAGTCTGTGAATAACTTGGATACAAAATTAATCTGTCTGACAGTTAAATTTGAGCTGAAAGTATTTCATGTACTAGTAATTGATTAAATACCAATAACTTGCATCAAATTATTATGAAAGCCAACTTAGAATTACTTTTAGTACTGCATGACAATGGGCTCAGTTACTGAAATATTGCTTACTGGTATATTTTGCAAGTGGAAAACAGCTCGGTTGTTCAAAGTTTGATCGCTCTACCCAAGTGCCCATGTGTGTCTAAAAGAATGATTATAGCCGGTCACTTTTGTTTCTACTACAGTAAATCTGTTCAATCATTTAGCCACTTTTATCATACAATATTACTGTTGGATTCACTTTAAAACTGAATTGTAATTCAAGAATTAATTTAAAGAATACTGAAGCTTTGATGCTTTCAGCTAAACAATCAAACTTAGCCTTTTTCTGAGAGTATTCAATGATTAGATGTAACACAAGTTACAACAAAAATTTGATGTATGAATTTATTTATTTTAGTTTACGAGGATTTGAAGTACCAGAAATTACTGAAGAGGAGACATCTGAAGGGTCTGGTAATAAGTACACTCCTCCGCAAATCACTGAAATGTTCGCAGTCACTGCCAATACTTTGCCATTTTACAAAACTCTTGGATATAGGTAGCATTGCTTGACATGTTAGATTTTAAAATTTAGGTGAACTTTTAAAATTGAGTGAAAACACATTTTCTTTAAAAGTAGTACTCTCCCTTGCACTGATATTTTTCTCTTAATAATGTTTTGAAAATGTTATACTGGGGGGAAAAGTTGAAATTTGGGCGAAATATGTACATAACTATTTTATGTAAACATCCCCTAAACTAAATATTCTTTGTTATTACTGTTTACTCAATGTAGTGAATGCTAATGATGTACCTTTTTTTTATAGGAAAATATTGAAATTATAGTGAAATTGTTTAATATCACAGGTTGGGAAAGTATTTTTCTGTGAATAATTATTTTAGATATTGTATACAATTGAATAAAATATTTATTAATATTAAAAGTATCCTTTGTGGAGCGGTCAATATTTTGAAAAGCTTGTTAATTTCTTTAAACAATAACAGCAGAGTATCTTTTAAAATGTCAGGTTAAAAGGTTAAACATACATGGATCATACTTACGTTTAGTTTCATATCTAACAATTTGGACTTCTAATTTATAGTAAAGGAAGTGCCTTAAAACCTGCAGATATTAGAAAAGTGGTGACCGACTATGTGAAAACTAACAATTTACAGAAGGAAGATTGTAAAAAGTAAGTTTTCTATAGATCATGTGTATTAGGTAGTCTTTAAAGAGTTATATATCAATTTGATGCTATTAAATCATCATTATGTTTCAATTGCACTTGCATGGCTATTGAAATTACAATGTATATTGTAATACTGCATGTTTGTAATACAGATGCCTGACGACTAGCACATGCCAACCTACCATACCCCTATATATGTAATAAATGTTCTTTATCGATATAATAAGGTATGAAGGGGATATTAGACGTCAGGCACCTGTGGTTTGTAACATCAATGTTTAACTGGACTGTTGGAAGGATGGCCTTGGCGTCGCTTTCACACTTTGGTTAAGTTTTGTGTGCAAGTTGTCATCTCCAAATCTACTGTAGGAAATGGGTTGAAACTTCACACTCATGTTCTCTGTGATAATATAACATGATGGGCAAAGGTTTCAATCCATTACTCTAGAGTTACCTGAGTTATGCCTCCTTTCTTGCTGTCAAGCACAAAGAAAAGTCAAACAGACTGTCTTACAGAAAGCTCTTTTTCTTGTTCATTTTATCATGCGCACAGTTGTTGTAAAATTATGAATGTTTTTAATTTTATCAAAGAAACTAGTTGTTCAGTATTGTAAATTTGTTATAAAGACTTTTAAATGACAATATGACTGTGTATTAATGGCTACTGGTATTTCCTATATTACCATTGCACAGTGGTTTTGGGTTATATATAACCATATTTTACTGAGCAATATAGCACTTCAAAAAAATCTTTATAATCAATTATATCACAGGTAGACATACATAGGCAAATATATTGTTTACTTTCATTTGATAACAATTAAGTTGTTTCATTGTTTTAGTAAAAATAGCACTTTAGCTTATTTATGGTTAAAATGGTCATGCAGTCTTGAAGAAGTATTTTTCTGCTTTGATAACAGTGATTGTGTATTAAACCTATTTGTCCCCATTCTTAGTTTGTTGTCTTGTAATACATATGACTGCACATTCATAATGTTGTTTGTTATCAACATTTTTGACCCTTTTTTATATGCAAATGATTGGATTTTAAGTAACATTTTGTTTTATTTTCAAAGAAAATTATTGTTCAACATCATACAACTTTCATAAAGAGTTTAAACAGCCTTGATGCCCTTATTAAGTTGGATTTTGCAATAAAATCCTCGCCTTGTTGGTTGGATTATATAAGCTTTAGGCTTTATAATACTGCACATTTGTAATGTCACTTGTATTAGATAATCATGACGTTTATATAGTTTTATATACACAGCTGCTGTCATTTTATGAAGAACTCACTTTTTTCTTTAAAAAATGATACTTGCCATATTACAAATTCGTTATAAATATATCTGACAGGTTATATGTCCATTTGCAGTATAATTCTTGCCTAGTGGCTTAGGTTATATTTCAAAAGAACCATTTATATAGGGCCATATAATCTGTCAGTAATCTTTATCACTGATAATATAACCTGTCTGAAAGAAAAAAAAACAAAAAACAAACAAGTAGTAAAATACATGTAATATGGATCAAGTCAGAATGTCTGAAATCAAAGAATATAATCTTGAAAATGAGAAATTGTTCCAAAGTTTGGTATTTTAAAATTTTCATTAGATTTAACAAGTGGAAATCTGAAATTTTATGTACTGTTAGCTATGCTTTTTAGAAAGTGTTAAAATGTAAAAAAAGCTTTTCATATATAGGTCAGAGAAACTTAATTTCTGAATCATTAAGATGACCATTTCAATCTGTTGATGATATACTTCATGAATATAAGAACCTTGTTTCAGGATACAATTTAAAATGTGAAATATTTTGATTTGTAGTGAAGTATTGTTAGACCCTATTCTTGCTGAGATGTTACTGGTGAAAGCAGAGGGGGACAGATCAACATTAAAATGGGATGAAATTTACTCCAGGTATATTTATTACACTAATTTCCCTCACACTTCTTTTAGAGAAGTTTTCAGCCATTACATAAGTAAGGAGGATAATTTGATTTCTGTGCAAAGGTTGATGACATATTTGGCATAACCTTGGCTGTTTTGAAAATGTGTACCAAGATTTGTTACATATGGAAAAGAAAATCGATACATTGTATCATTCTACAATGTACAGTATTAGTACAATTAAAGAAATTTGTATAAAGTAATATGTTAAAGGCTGCTATTTTGCATCTGTGCTCCTGCTTAATTAAGAAATAGATGATTTGTACCATATTGATTTGATGCCTCAACTTTTGGCGGCAGGGAATATACATTTATATTTGCCAATTAGCTGTAAGGACTGCTGATGTTTATCCATCTCCATCCCAATGAAATATCCTGTCTCCAGCCTGATACTTGTGGAGTATATATGTCAAAAAACTGTAATCAGCAGAATCTTTTAACAATATTGTAGATGAACTATTTCAGGATTTTTAGTTCACCTGAGCACAACTCGCTAATTGTGATGTTTATTCAGCAGAGCCTCATTACCACTGAAAATATACATGTATACCATTAAGCTAGGCATTCTGGTGTGTAAATTGGACCCATTTTAAGATTCTTATAGTCTTCACCATTAACTTTTTTGTATCAAACTTGCCCTGCTTCAGATAGAACATCAAAAGTCTAAAGTGATTAGATACCAATTTTATAAAATTATGCAAACTGGGCTGCCTTTCATAGAAAGCCCTTAGTCTGATATCAGTCTTAAGACCAAAACTGAGACAATTTTGCATTTCAAAGAAATTGTCCTAATTTATGACCTCTATGTCACAACTCTTAATTTCTGAATAGCAACGCTGATGGGCATTTACACATTTCATATAAAATCGTCTGTCTTTTTTTTTTTCTTAACTTTTCTGAGGAGAGTGAGTTTATTTATAGTCAACAATATTTGACTGTAAAATGTTTATTGAAAGTAAGCCCTACAGTTGGCTTTATGTCCTAAGACTTAGGATACACTTTATACGAAACGCAACCCAGTAGTTTAGAGTCTGCAGTGTTGCATGAGTATAATCATTATTTCAGCTAATAAGTACTGTTAAGTTAAACTTTGTGTTGAATATTGAGGTATGAATCATAGATTTCAACCAAACACATTTCATCATAAATTTTTCTTAATGTTCATAAAACCCATATTAAAGGGTATATATTTTTGTTATTACACAAGAGTTTTATAATAAAATAATGATAAAAACATAAAATTATAGTCAATAATAATTGCTTTGTAATCAGAATGTTTTGCAAAATACGTAATATAACTGTACATAAATTTTTTAGTTACAACAGCTTTCACAAGTACGTAAAAAAGTTATATGTACTGTCATAAGTGCGTATGAAAAGTGTTTAAAGTGCATGAAAAGAATATATTGTTATTAAATATCTATATGTTAAACTTCACGTAGGCTGATAAACAAGATGACACCAGTATATGAAGTGATATTTGCGGGTCAACCAGCTGTTATAAAAAAAGGAAATGTGGATCCGATCAAGATAGATGTTGTACAAAGGGCCTCTAATAAAAAGGTAAAATAATGTGGGAAATGGAAATCACTTTTATTTTGCTTTATATTTGTAATATTTGAATTTACAAGAAAAAGTGATTTAAAAAGTCCCATCTTAATATTGTCCATTGAAACTAAAAAAAATGTTTTATACCTGATTGATCAGCCAATAGTTAAGTCTTTTAAATGTCTTAAAATATTCTGGTCAGAGACTGGTAAAAGTCTGTTAAGATTTTGTTAAACATCTGATAGGTGCCTGGTAAAAATCTGTTAAGAATTTGGTATAAATCTGTTCAAATTCAGGTAAGCCTGGTAAAAGTGTGATAAAAGGGTGGTGTTGTGTAAGAGTCTGGTAAAAGTTAGTTGGGACATCATGAAACAGAAAGCTTACCTGGCTACATACTGTGCCATAGTTATTTCTTTATTACCCAAAGCAGTCAAAAGTGTTGAATTATCTTTAAACCATTCAGACTTTAGGTTTTGTAGTTGTTTTTTTTTTATATGAATATTTTTTTAAAGTGATAACCTTACTTTGAAAAAAAGAAAGTGCACTTTTTCTGAAAAACATTCATAACATCCAAGAATTTAGACACCTTTAATCTTAGTAACAGATAAATATCAACTCGAAATTATGTATTTACATATTGTTTTAGTATAAAATTTATTAAACAAGCTTGAAATGAGTGCTAAAAGTTAAAATATTGAGAAAGTTAAGTTGACCTGACTGTAAACATGAGATATACACTTGTACTCACTTTAGTGCACATATGTTTTATATATGTCTTTTATCTGTGTCTTTAACAGTATTGTTATTATCAATACATTTATAATTTCACTGAAACAATATTTGTATTTTACAGGCCACAATTATAGAGAATTTAGATTTGTTTGGTATAGACGAGAAGACATTTGCTCATACAGTACAGGTGAAAGTTGCATGTAGTGCATCAGTGGTGCCATCACCACAGAAAAACAAGGGGCCACAAGTGGTAGTGCAAGGAAATCAAGTCAATTTTGTTGTAGAAATTTTAACAGGTAAACTATTTTTATTGTCTGTTAAGGGTTCTCTTACAGGTAAACTATTTTTAGCCCAATTTTGTCCAAATAAATACCCTGGGGTCAAAATTGGCCCTGCCTGGTGGGGGGTGGGGTCATTGATTTTCCTTATTTGTATATAGTAAAAACTTTAAAAAATCTTCCTTTAAAAACCCCAAATAGCTAGAGCTTAAATATTAAGCATGAAACATCTTCTAGTGGATGTCAACCAAGTTTGTTCAAATAAAACCCCTGGGGTCAAAATTGGCCCAGCCCCCAGGGGGTCATTGTTTTTCCCTTTATGTATATAGTAAAAACTTTAAAAAAATTCTTTTAAAAGAACCCTAAGAGCTAGAGCTAAGATATTTAGCATGAAACATCTTCTGATGGGTGTCTACCATTTTTGTTCAAATAAGGGCCCTGGGATTAAAATTGCCCCGCCCCGGGGATCATTGATTTTCCTTATTTGTATATAATAAAACCTTAAAAAATCTTCTTTTAAAAAGCCCAAATAGCTAGCACTTAGATATTAAGCATGAAACATCTTCTAGTGGGTGTCTACCAAGTTTGTTCAAATAAAAGCTGTGGGGTCAAAATTAGCCCTGCCCCAGGGGGTCATTGTTTTTCCCTTTATGTATATAGTAAAAACTGAAAAAATCTTCTTTTAAAAAACCCTAAGAGCTAGAGCTAAGATATTTAGCATGAAACATCTTCAAATAGGTGGCTACCATTTTTGTTCAAATAAGGGCCCTGGGGGTTAAAATTGCCCCGCCCCATGGATCATTTATTTTCCTTATATGTATATAGTAAAAACTTAAAAAATCTTCTTTTAAAAAACCCAAAGTGCTAGAGTTTAGATATTAAGCATGAACTATCTTTTAGTGAGTGAGTACCAAGTTTGTTCAAATAAAAGCCCTGGGGACAAAATTGGCCCTGCCCTGAGGGGAGTGATTGTTTTTCCCTATATGTGTATAGTAAAAACTTAAAAAATCTTCTTACAGCTAGAGCTTAAATATTTATCATAAAACATCTTCAAATTGGTGGCTACCAAGTTTGTTCAAATAAAAGCCCCTGGGTTAAAATTGGCCCCGCCCTGGGGGCCTATATACAGGTGAGCAATTTCAGGGCCATCATGGCCCTCTTGTTGTGTCGCCTTGAAAAAGGCGACATATTTATTGTCTACTAAGGGTTCTCTAAGGAGGGAATGGTATATTGTTTAGCAGATTTTCCACTCAGGAAATTTTGGTTTTTAGCATGATAAATATTCTCAAATGAGCGGCTTGGCTTTAACATTAACTTCTACAATTCTCAAGTATAGAACTATTGTCATTAAGTGCTCCGTTACATGTATATATTAATGAGTTTTCTTATTGGCTGAATTAAGGCCTATATGTTATCATAAATATATTGAAAACTACTCTTCTGTGTATGACATCTACATTTCTCAAGAGATTTTAACAAAACCTTCAAAGTTTTATTGTCAGGAAATGTTTCATTTTTATATTTCAGGATCATACAATATACCAAAAAAATATCTGAAGGGACAAGAGAAAGCTCCAAAATCTAAACGAAGATGATGATAAACGAAGTAATGTGTATAAATATGTTATAAATCTAGGTGAAATCAAAAATAAAAATAAGTTTAAAGTTACTTTTCGTTTCTTATAAACTACACCTTGACGAAACAAAACTTGTCAGAAGGTAAGATAGTGTGTCTTACAGAACATTTATATGTCTTTGTTTTGTTTTGTTTGTTTCTTGCATTTTACGCCTTTTTCCAACAGTATTTCAGTCATATAGGCGGGTAGTTTCCTAACCATCGTTCCTGGAGAGTAACACCAGTACTAGACTACCTTCCTCCGCGCTAAACTACCAAAGCATCTCCCGGGGATCGAACCCACGCCAGAGAGGTAACTGGATTAGAAGTCATCGACTCTAACCCCTCGACCACGGAGGCGGTTATTTATATGTCAGAAAGTGTTCATTTAAATGGGCTTTACCTTGTTATGCCCTGCTGATGGAATCGTAAGGAGGATAACAAATTTTCCTCGTCTGTGTCCATTAATCTGTATGAATTGCTTTTCTGTGCTATTTCTCAGCAGCTACAGATACCTTTCAATGAAATGTTGTGGGAACATTACCAAAAGGAGATGTACATGTCATTGACATGCTGGAGTTGGACCATTAAACTCGGGAGTGTTATGGCCCCTGAATAGTTATGCTGTATGTATATGTACTCGGATTTCAAATTAATCTTGTTGGAACCATCAGTCCAAAAAGAAGATGCGCTTATTATGGCATGACCTTGTATGACCAATAGACACCGATTATTGCCCCTGATTATTTTGCTGTATGTATACAGTGTATAATTTGTCAATGCTATTACTTGGCTACTGCAGACTGGATTACATTGAAACTATGGGAAACATTAGTATGTAAAGGAGAAAGGACAAGATAACACTTATGACAAAAACGACATGTTAAATAATTCTGAACTTTACTTTGAAATGACCTTGACCTAGGCCAAATTATTGAATTTGATAAAATTGCCTTAACTTTGGTAATAATGGGCGGATTGATTTATACTTTGACAAAACATTACTTAAGAGGAAAACAAACATGTTGACATATTTAAGTATGAATTGGTCCACTTGCTGTTAGTAATGCTACAAAAAATATTCTTTTAAATACACGGACTTCCCTAGATATCGCCTTGGAGAAAAACATTCATATTAATGTAAGTCTTGAATTTTCTCAATAGGAAGTCATAAATGAAATAAAAATATTATCCGCTGATGGAATATTGTCTGTGATTAATTAACCGCTGACTTTAATCAGTAATATTGACTGTTTCAGACATAGTCTGTCTTTTGCTAAACTTTGCATGTCTTTGCAACATTACAGACGTGTCAATTTCACCCACATACCCACACAAATGTATAGTGAAAGAATAAAGATTTGATTGCACGTGTTTTCTTTAAATCTCTTTTTTGTCCATTATTTACAAATTCCTTTGCTCTTTATATAAGTCTCTGCTCTTTATATAAGTCTCTGCTCTTTATATAAGTCTCTGCTCTTTATATAAGTCTCACAATATTCCCTGTGCATTTTCACACGAGTTACAATAATTATCCCGGATGCAGTCTTATTGCATAGGTCGTGCAAATTATGAGCTTGAGCCGATAGAGTAGATATAACCCGTTCACATTTTTACTTACAAGGCGTACCTCCCGTTTCTTTACAATTATATATTTATAAGTGCTTTATGTATACTAGAATTAAAGAAGAATGTGACTGTATCCTTGGTAACGCGCAATTTAAAAAAAACAACATAATAATAGTATTTATACACTTGTAGAAGCAGCGACATGGCAATCAAGAGTAATTCTAATTTTTAGTTGAACACTGAAATACAGTAACTAGTAAAATTTAATTGTGGTGAAATATTGTTATAAAATTAAATCAAGATGTAGAATCAACTTATTCTTTTTAACTTAACGATGATAGTCTTGCGATCTATATGTCAATGATTGTAAAAGAGAGATCTAAACATTTACTGAGCATTTATTTTATATTGATAACATGAAATTCAAAAAACAAAGAACAAAACGAATATCATTCATCGAAAAGCATATTTTTTTAGTTATTCTCTTAGGCATAATTTATGATAAATTATACCATTATATAATTTTCATGTGATTAATTTTATAGACCCTTGACGGGCCTATATGAGTATGACGTATTCTTTAATAAAATTATTATCCAATAGTATTTCTTGACGCTGATATTGTGACGTAGCAAACATGACGTCAATGACGTCAATTTATCTTAGTAACACAACGTCAGTTTTGTTTGCGGCTTTGTACTAACAACGACACTCAAAGAATTGCAGAGTAATTTAACTACAAAACGCATAATAAATGAATCGGCAACGCCAAAAAATAAAAGGTAAGTTCATTTTGATACAATCAGCATAACTTATACATGATAGTACATGAATTTTTCTTCTTGGTCTTAATTTGCCGAATTGAAAACTATTTCAAGGGATATTTCATCAAATGTGTTTTATCAGTTATTTTTTATTTCGAAGTAATTGGTCAGCTAAATGTAGCAACAATTATAGCCACTGAAAGACTTGGAATTCTCATTGATGTTAGAATGATATGACATGGTGATTTAATCAAAATAGTTA